GAGAAAAGGCACCAAAAAAGCACGAAAAAAGCACGAGAAAAAGCACGAGAAAGCGCACGAGATTTTGAAAGCGGGATTGGTGCTCCGAAGATTGTCCCCGCGGAAACGGTGGATCAGGACACCGGTGGTCCTGGGACTCCGGGGGTGGCCCTGGGGGAGGGGGTTGGGGAGTCTGAGCGGGTTGGGGGGTCTCCTGCCTGGCAGGTTCTTCGACGTTGTGCGTGGCATGGGAAAAGAATTTCCATGAGCCATGTGAGCGTCTCCTGCGAGACATGCCCATGCAGCCCATGCATATGATGCAATATAAATTAAGGATATGAATGATATTACTATATAATATATTCATAGCTTTTGGGTGTACTAGTCTAGTAGTAATAGTAGTGGTAGTAATGGTAGTAGATGTAACCCAGTGCAATGTAACTCAACATCAGGTTGGTGAAAGACTGGGAGTGAATGAGATGAGAGGGCCTTCGGGAGTGAATGAGATGAGATGAATGAGATGAGATGACAGGGTTCTAAACCTGCAAACTTCAAATCACAATTGAAGATGGTACCTTGTTGAAGTGGCCTGATTTCAGTTTGAGATTTCTGGTGCTTTTTCTCTTAGTAAGTTTAGTAGGGAAAGCATTTTGCGACTGTTACTGGGGGGGGGCAGGGTCCAAGATGAATCCCAGTCAGCAAAATGGAATGCAGGAATGCACCGTATATGGCAGTTGCAAAAACTAAGCATCTGGAGAGTAATGGATGGTGCTCCTATGTTGTTTGGATGCTATAATATATATATATATATAGATAGATAGAGAGAGAGAGAGAGTAATTCACATGAATGACAACATCACAGTCCGCCATCCAGGCAAAGAAGAGTTGAGGCCCAAACGGTGCATTGATCGGGGGGCAGGAGAGGTTCTATGGGATGTATTCTTTTTTCTGATCCTGACTCAAATCCTCAGCCAAACTGCCCATTTTTTTTTCCCATTGTGATTCCTCAGATTGAATCCAGCTCAAAGGACGACAAGTTCTCAGAAAACAAACAGTATAGTACTCGTTAGTTCTTTTCTGAGGTTTTTAGCCGTCTGTGCCAGCAGCAAGGATCTTGAATCGAGCCTCTCATCCGCACGTCCTGTGTTCCATGGTCTGTGCGAGACCAAATTTAATTGGTGTTCAGTCTATGTGTTACACTCCTGGGCTTTTGGGAAGATTCCCAACTGTAAACCAATTTAGTTCCCTTTGTAAACGGCAGCATCGCCTCGGCTGCCCCTTTGGTGTATCTGGACAGGGCTGGAGAGAAAAACCGGTCGAACGAAACGCCCTTTCACCGGCGCCGTCTTTGCGCTGCCAATCCACACCCCAAAACGGGCTCCAGTCGTACCCGGTAGGGTTTGAAGGGAGCCAGACGGGCACGGGAGCCAACCCGTTTGAGTGAAGTGCTCCAGCGACGTCACGGTTGAGGATTGGGTTTTCCATCGGGGTGCTACGTCACGCCCCATATGTTTGCCGGATCGGATCTGTTGACCTGGATCTTCCAACTCAACATCGCTTACAGGATCTTACTGGCTTAATCAGGCTTACCTAACTTGGCTGGTTTTTTGGGGAGATGAACAGGCAAATTTCTCTTGGCACCTGTTGGAAGAACTGAACCAAATCCAGACGTGTTGGCCCGGATTGGCGCCAGACACCAACCTCCGTCCTGCGCCACAGGCGGTTTTCGGATCACGAACGAACCAGCCCGGCTCCGCCGCGGACGGGGTTGGGTCGCCGGACAACGTGTACAGATCCGGTCCCGGTCGCTGGCGATGGTCACTGCGTGTTCGATGTGATGGATTCGTTTTCAATCAGAATCAGAATCAGAAAACCGTGGCGGGCCGGAAGATGGAGCGCCTCTTTTAGGGGTGTGCATCTCTATAGAGGTTTCTTCAATGTTTTGAGGCGTATTCTGTTCTGTTCAAGGTGAGAAGACTCAGGACTTGTGCCTGTGGGATACCCATTTCATATTGCGATTCCTGTGGACTTCTCTCAGATGTTGGATCTCATTTGGCAATGGCCGTAGCTTGAGTTTGTCAGATCCATTTAAAGTGATCAACTTCAGTTT